AGCAATGGAATTTATATGCTAAATAAAAATTCTTAATACATGAAACTTATGATTCTTAATAGTATTTTAATGAGATTCAATACAAATATTTTTATGACAAAATTAAAAATACTTACTGATTAATTAATAAAATTTGTATTAAATTATATTTTATATAATATATATATGTTATATAAAAATTTAAAGAACATTTTAATGCTTTGTTATTTTTGAACAAGTAAGATTTAATATAATTAATATTCAATTATATTGAATGTTTTATAATTAAGTTTCATGTAAATTAAATCTTTTATTATTTAACTTTTTCTTTAATATATATTCTAAATAAAATATTTAAAATTTAAATGAATTATTTAATTATATTATTAATTTATTCAATAAAATTAAAAAAAGAAATATTTATTACAATAACTTATTAAACTTTCATATAAAAAAGACACATGTTCCAATAAGGTTAGAAAATTGATTTGCTATTATTATTTCTATTTTATATTTATAATACTATCATAATGATGAATTATGTAAGAAAGCTTAACTTAACTTACGCTTTATTTATTATATACATATCATATAACATGTATATAATATTAGATTTTTTTTATATTTATCAAATGTTTATATAATGATGAAACGAATAAAAAAAATTCAATACCTTTGCGACGAGTTGTTGACCAGAATGTACATCGACGCATCGGTATAGAGCGCTCCCCTCGGCTGGTCCAAGAAGTAGGTACCGATCGCCAAGTATGGTGGGTCCATGATGATCGGTAGGCAATGGTTCATAACTAGGGAAGACAACTGCTGGCACCGAGTTCGTCTCGTCATTCGTCGGCTGTTGACTGATGTCCTGATTATTGTTCGGGCAGACCAGGAACTTTCCATTGTTGGTTCGAGCCACTTGTAGATGAATAGAATGCTGTCTGACAGCGGCTGTCACTCTCATATTGTGCTGTTTTCACACACGCACTGTTTTACACTCGCGACACTATTGCCTCCCTGGTATCTTCTTTCTTCAAAAATCGTTTATTTTAACAAAACGAAGCACGTATTTTTTATTGAAGTTCAATCGAATTTTATAATTATTCGTAATTATTGTCAGTGGACCGTTAAAGCAGAAAAGCCTTTTGAACACACTTCACGTCACAAGATTACCGAACCGGGTAGCTGCGACAATTATTGATTATAACGGACCGATTTTAACGCTTTTAAGCTCTATCGGTATAAACACGTGTATAGCTACAAATTAATTATTAGATAAGAATATCACTTGTGCTTGGGCCCATGCAGCGTTGCTTCGTGCTACAGCTGGGTCCTTGGACGGAGATCTTCGTGGGTGACAATTGGTCACTTTTAACGAAAAAGCTCTGTAACAAATAAAAATGAAATTGTTTTATATAATATAATATAATATTTAAAATCCGAATGAAATATAAAACAGATAACAATTCATCAATAAACCTTTAAACCTATTTGCATAAATTTAAGAATGTAAAATTATACATTGTTAATTAAATCAAATTATATGTATTCATAATAGGGTTTGAACGACAAGGATTTCGTTCATTACCTCTATGTGATTCACGGACAATTTCAAAAGACGTTTCGACACTCGTCCTGCCTTGTGCGCAATTTCTATAGAGAAGGGGACCACTGTAAGGTCAGGGATATCGCTGTAAGGCGGTCGTTGCGCTGTAATGTTCTATCCAACCAAAGAAGTCGAGTCACAGAAAAATTATAAAACGTGATGCAAGAAAATCTTGAGGGCATTATTAATGTTGTTAATAGTATAACGAATTTTTATGAATTCTCCTTTTCTCTGAATTTACACCTTGTTATGCAGAATAAATTTGCATATCACTTATTTTCATTCATATTATATACATTTCGATAATTATTATTTCAATATCATATGAATTTTTTAGATCGTTATATAGATCGTGTTTTTTTGATAACTTAGGTTATGTGATCTCTTCTGAACACAATATGTCGAAAATATGCATACAACAATTTTATTGCAAAAAATTATAAAATAATTGTAAAATATGTTTTCACAAATAATTGTAATTTCAAAAAGTAACCTTTTATATTCAATTTTCATTTATGATTATTAAAATTCGATATATAAATTCAATATAATTCTTGATTATGAATTATATAGTTTGAAATTAAAAACGAATTAGAAAAATTATGTATTTACGTTTGTTTCTTAGGATATTATCAGTTTCGTTTTAATTTTAATTTAAAAACATTTTCAGATAATATTAATAAATCAAAGTAGTCAATCTTAAAAAAAGAAAAAATCTATACCGGTAATCAGAAATTCGAATTTCAGAACTTACTCGATCATTCGATTTTATCATTGTGAATTCCGACTATCGATATTCGCGAAATCGCGTCATTACGATATCGCACTTGCGCAAAACTCTTACCGTTCCAAAGATCAGGGATGCGAATACGAGAGTAAGTACACGTCTCGCCCCCTAGTTTTGTCTTTAGAAAATTGTCAATCGTGATTTTTATTCATTTTTTCTGTTCAATAATTTTTTTTATTACAATTAAATTTTATTTTAAAACACAATTTTTGATTGATTTCTATATTTTTTGATATAATACTTCATGTATAACATCCAAAAATATATCGAGTTTCATAAAAAATTTTTAATACAAACCTAACCTAACTTAACTGAATTAACTAAACTTAGCTGTAATTACATTTATAGTTCTATTTAATAAATATTATTTTCTTTTTAAAATTTTCGATAATAAAAGTTAAAATTTTTTAAATCTTATTATTCAAATACTCTCAAAAAATATAAGAATTGATTAAAAAATATATTTTTGAAATAAGTTAAACTAATAATTTTCTATTTTCGATTATTCGAACATTTAGAATTGAAAAATCAGTAATGTAACGAAAGATGATGAGGCCCTGTGCTGGAACTTGTAAATGTCTCCCATGTTCAAGTTTATTGAATGAACGAAAATCTGACGAAATAGCGAGTTCGATATTAGTAAAGGATTGCGTCCACACGGTAGCGCGTGTCGAAACGCATATATATGTTCGCACATACACTATCAAGCAGATAGCAGATATCCTTCGGTAAGGTCAAAATGGCGGAGTTCCACAGTTGTCACGGCGATATTGCGGGCACCGGTTGCATTAATAGCGCGCGAGAACGTGACGCAATACCGCGAAATAAATTGCCTAATACGTCCGCTCACGTATGTCTATGACTTTACGTGGATGGATTATACCGGCGTTTATGATTTTCGACATAAGAGGAAAAAAGTAAATGACAACAAATTGTAGCTTTTCATCATTTTTTTTGGTGAAATTAAGAAAATTTGTTCGAATATCAAAATATTAAACCAAACATTATGAAATTTTCACGATAATTTTCAAGATAAACGAATACCAATAGATATTGATTATTAATTTCAACAAATAAAAGATCCGATAGAAAAGCTAGCAAGGAGTATACACTAATATCAGGGCAAGCGCACCGAAGTAAATATACGATAGAACGAAGAAACTGACATCGATCCAGTACGCGTCGGTAATAATCACTGCACTTTGCACTGTTCTCACGCGAAACTGATACGCAAAATATATGCATTCGCGCACTCACTTCATAATGGTTTTTCTTTTTTCTGTCTAAATAACCTTATTTGAGTTTAAAACAGCAGATGAACACATGTTACCTTTGTATGTTCTTCCTGTTGTCGCCGTACGTTCCTGAACGGGAGGCTGGGATGAAGAAACAGTCAGATGTAATTTGAGTTTCTCCCAAAGACGTTGTTGATAAACCGCCGTCTGTTCGAAAAGCGAAGCCCCAGTTTCGATTGGGCGTATTGGTTTTTCGAATAGCGCGCGCTTCGGATAAAACCTGGTCTTCTTCCTGTTGGCTCTACCTAGATGATGTATCGGTAGTAGTGGTTTTTCTGTTCACGGTTCTCGTAATTCGTCTTCCGTCTAGCCGTCGTTGTTATTGTTTCTCTTTCGTCACTCACTACGAGGACTAGATAATTCGAAAGAAACAAAGAAACTTGAAGAGCTGAGCGGTTACGAACGAGGGAAACTGTGCGGTAAGATTTGTATCCCGCGCAACGGACGGTCCAACGTTTTGGGCCGGCCCTCCGCTCAGAAACGACGGCGGCAGCAGAACGAACAAGCACAAACCAATCGTGCCATTGTGCAGCAAACGACTGAAGCTACGGTCGCCGCCTTGGTTTAACCCAACAGAATCGGTAAATACGTTGTGGGGAGTGGGAAATAAACGCGCATGCGTGTTTCACGGATTTTCAGTACCGGCTCAAGAATATCGTATTATAATGTATCCTCGTGTTTTTCGTGCTTAAAAATGTGATTAAAATTTAAAAGACAAATTACACAAAGAAAAGATCCTTTTGTTTCAAATTTCCTGTGGTAAGATATTTCTTTTTATTCTTAATTATCTAATAATAATATTAAAAAAAATTATATATTCATATATATATATATTCGAATATATATATACATACATATTCTATACATGACAAAAAGAATTATTTTTTTTTATTATATATATGAAAAGTATATTAATATTTCTTTTCATTTTCTCTGCCAAAAAAATATATTTATTGTAATTTTGAATAAGAATAAGAATATAATTTTTCTGTCATATCAGTCATATGATTTATTATTAATGATTCAGCATTTTAATATCTAACTTTTACTTGTCTTGTAATACGTTCTTGATTTACATTTAATCTACATTAATGATGCAATATACAGAAAAATTACAGATTGTAGAAAAGATAAAATACGGTATTGATAAGTTCCTGAAGAATATGTATCAAAAAAAGGGCCTTGAGAGTTAAAGATGCGCTACTGGCCACATCAGTGCGTACGTGGGCATCCGAAACCTCGACACGCGGTTATACATGTAAATTTTTTGTACATTTACAACAAATTATTCAAGACACTAATTACTTCTATATTAACTTATACGCTATATTATGAATTACATATGTATATTGAAATTTATTATTGGAATTTTCCACTTTTTTGAAATGAATTATAACTGAACTATAGTATAGAAATAAATAGTATACTTACTGTGTAATAATAATTGTTGAACAAATATAATATAAGTGATTATTATAAATTCCATATTAAATTCTTTTTTTAATTAAAAAGCAAAATTGATAGATTCTTTCAAGGCGTTGTTTCGAATAAATGATGTGCCCTTGACCTACCTTAACGTTTCTTAGCAACCGCGGGAGGCACGCTTAAACAATCGGTGGCAACTAAGGGCACGTAACCTCACCCACATACATCTGCTATGACCGTGAGAAATCGTATCATCATTACACATATTTTTTGTCACAAAGAAATAGAAGCATGGCGTTGTTCTTGGGTCATTTCTTGAAATACATTCAGTTTTGCGGTTTTTCTCTTTTATTATTAGATGTGAATAAAAGATTTTAAATGTGAAGGTAATCTGATTGAGTAATCATGTTATTTAACAGTTTATATTTTTTTTTATTATAAAGTAAAAAATTTCATTATTCTCGAATAAATATAATTATTTAAATTACTTTAGATAATTTTATTTATTAATTCACTTATTTTTTTCTATTTGATCATCGCGTTTTTCTCAAGCAACATTGAAAATTTTTTAAGAATATTTTTACTTCAAAAATTTTTATAGCTAAATAACATACAGATATTTTTTTTATTTTGTATCAATTTAAAAATATTTTTTTTTAATCAAATTCAATTTAATTTATCGAAAAATTAAATTGAAATAAAAATTAAAAAGAAAAAATAAATTACATATTTATTAATATTAAAAATTTTTTATAATATATATGTAAATATTCAAGATATACAAACTACATAATATTTATGTATTTATGTATATCAATCGACTATTAAAATATTCTGATCCTTTCGCTTAGAAGAAATATGCTGTGTTATAATATCCAGGAAAATATTTATTATAAAATATATTTGCATTTATATATTATACATGTTTGAAAAGATACTATATGGCTTGCATAGATCACGACTGGAGCAAGAGTAGGCCTTCGAATTTCCAAACAAGCTCGGCTTCAGACCGGATATTGGCCAACTTAATGCTTTTTTTTTTTAACATACTCGATTCTGCTTATACGTATATGTGGGTGCCAATTGCTTGATTTCGTAGCTCGATGATTCAAGCTGACACATGTCGAAAATGATGGTTCGATATGTTCCGGAAAGGACAGATCTTAATGAATATGTTAATTATCCGATAATTTTTTATTAAAGACAATTTAACTTTACGTTCAAACTTTTTTCAATCGTGAAAAGATATTTTTTTTTAATCAATTGAGAGATTGAAAAAAATGGTATATATATATATTTTTTTCAAAGATGAGACAAGTAAAAAGAATGATACGGCACGATAATATTTGTTTAGAAAATTTTTCTTATTCTTCACGAATAAAAATATTTTAAAAAATAACTTTCATGAAAATGAATATTCTACGAATAAGAAAAGAAAAATTGAACGAATATATTTACACTATAAAATAGTGTCGTTACATACATTTTCTCTTATCGATGTTTTATATCTTTTCGTTTACGTATCTTCCAATCGAATGCAATTCATTTCGATAAAAACATTGTAAGAGAGTGATAATCATCTTTCGTTCGTCTTTCGTCAGACTTCGTGAATTTTTCCACATGATGATTCAGATTGGACGAGCATTGATCTATATATTTATGTATTTATGAATTGAAAGGCCGTTTTATATTATAATTAAATCCTGATTAAAAATTGGCATTGAATCCTCGAATAATTGGAATTTTGTAAATGAAAGAAAACAATCGTAATTGTCGTCACAATTTTTTAATTTTATCATGAACATAAAAACTATAATAACGATTGTTTGATAGATTGTATTGATATGTATATAATATAATTCTTGTAATAATAAAATATAATAGTACGATAAGTAATAAACAAATAAAACAAAGTTATAACAAGTGTGTACGTAATTTCCAAGTCACATGGCGTTATAGAGTATTAAAACTTATCGTTAGAAACAGAGAAAGAAATCTGTATTGTTTCGCTGTAAACGTGTCTTATACCACGTATACTGTTTTCGATCTATTGAAGTTTTTAAAAAACTTCTTTTAAAAAACTTGTTTTAAAAAACTTTTATAAAAATTCGTATATTATGAAATAGAAACGTGATAGAAATAATAATATAAAAAATTTAAATCGAAATTTTGAAACAAAATCGATTCTTCGATCTCTCTTAAATTTTTCTCTGTTGGATATGTTTGATCAGATCATCATCTTCTGTTTAATTTGTTCGACATTCCTTTCGACAGATTAGCATTTCTGTTTCACTCGTTTTTTAAAACATATATCACGCGACACGCGACTCTTAATGTAAATTTGGATTTCATCTTTACCAGTTAAAGTGTTAATCACGGTTAATTCCTTTTTCTGAATTTCAAGTGACGGCATCGGTATTTTCTTTTTAATTTCGTTGGATATTGTCATTATGAAATTACATTATTTAAAATGTTTTCAAGGCCATTAAAGAATATTTATCACCAACGAAATTTTGGATTGAAACATTGTTCCTTTTTCGTTCCTATTATTTTCGAGGATCATAATCTTTTGATCTTGAGATGATTTTGATCTCTTTCACGATCTATTTTCGCTCGACACGAGATTTCGATCGTTATCGTTCTCTAATGTTATTCTTGATTTCCGGCTATTTATTTCAAACGTACGTAGTAAACACACTTTTGCGCTTTCGTTCTCTTATCATTAGTTCCCTTATCTGTTATCTGTTATCGTCACTTTTCCGAAAATATTTCGCGATACATATTGTTTTGTTGGCCAGATTGGTAGAGCGCATGATTTCGTTAATGCCAATTTGAAAATTGAAAGTTTTATTCCAAGAACAATGATATTATTCCCAATGATGAATCGCGAACGGAAGTGATGATAAAACGGATATTAATTTTGTATCAGACAGACAGATTTTTAAAATAAAACGGATATTAGTGGAAAGCCATTGACCAACATGATTGTGAAAACGCTATATTTGAATCGAACGTACATAACATATAGTATATTCGGCGTCCGACCTTCGCTTCTTGACGATGTATCTTTCCTTTGTTCGTTTTTCTTTTCTTCCTCTTTTTATTCTCGATATAATATATCAACTTTGTTAAAAAAAATATTCGATAAATATAGTTCATGAAGATTTTACGTTTCTCATTCTCATATTTTTCTAACTATATTTATTTAGATTTCAATTATTTAGCATTATTGATGAATAGATGAGAATCGAATAATAAGTATCTTGACACAATCGTTCGAAATGAAAAACTCCATCTTTTTTTTCAAAGATTAATAATGTTAACCCGGTCGCAGAAGTATATTTGAGATAGATGCGAGGTTATTTTGAAACTGATAATTGTTGACAGATGGAAAAAAATATTAGCCGGGAATACGTGATGCGCGTCATGCCGAAACAATTTTGTGTTTTATCTTCGCTCATTATTGTGTACACGCGTTTTGTCAAAAAATTTTCACTGCGATTCTATTATCCAGCTTACTTATTCATTGAAAATTATGATGACTTATTCTTCGAAAACAATAAGGCATATTTCCTCGTTCGATGATTCAAAAATTAGTCAAATTTTCTAAAATGGTTTGCGCAAGATGAGATTTCCGGTATCGCATAGGATGTATCTGTCTAGACACAGTTTGTTGTATTTATGATATATCTTGGGCCTTCTTGCACGATAATTATTAGTAATGATTTGTAAGATTTCAATAATAATTACGTGCGAGTGCCTTTTGTGAGATTTGTCTAACATGGAATATTACTATAAGATAGATAAGAGAAGTTGATAATCGAAGATTTTAAAAGATTTTTGAAATCCATGAATTGAAATAGAATGATAAATATTTACCCGCGTTTGATGTAAAATTGAACTCGCGTTGAATGTTGCTAAAGATATTTTATGAGAAATTGCATTTCGAGAATGATGTCATGTACGAATGAATGTATCTTCATTTTTAATTTAAAAAGTTTGGCGAGAAAACTAAACTTCACTTATTTTTTCTTCTATTATTTTAAAGATAACGAATATATCTAATCTAATGACAAAATAATAGTTTCTTTCTCTTGAATCGGTGCTTGTTATAATTTCAAAAATCGAGAATTTCGCGTCTTTTCGCATATCCCTTTGCAATGGATCGCATAAACGTCCGTTCGATCTTCAGCACAAGCATTCTCATGGTAAACGAGCCGGACGTACGATTATGTTCACGGCCGAAACTATTTTTGCGGATGCCTCACGAGACGGACCGATGCGGAGGAAAAAGTAATGACGTAGGCAATCGTTGTTAAAAATTGTTACTTCCG